AACTCTCTTATAGTAAGATATTTATTTTATTTTCTTATTGATGAGACTTAATTTATGAATTGAAACATATTGCATAATTAATGGGATGGTTGATTGTGGTGAAGGACATACGCACATCTATGAAAGAACCATGCTTCTTGTAGGGCAAGTTAAAGTGGGCAAGCGTTTCCCGCTTGTTACTTGTCTCCTGGAGGGTTATGAGGGAAGGTATAAGCATCCTAATTTGCAATGATAATTTTGTGTTAATTTTTTCTAAAACTTTATGCTTTAACAGTGGTAAAACAGCAATGACAGCAACCATCAGTATCGATAGTGATTTTCCATATGTTAAAATTATAAGTTCATTCTGCTATATAACACCTTAGAGGTTTTCTGGATTAAGAACCAATTATTTTTACCACAGGTCTCAGCTGAGTCGATGCTTGATCTAAGCGAGAGCAGTAAATGTGCAAAAATTATCAAGGTTTGTTTCCTTTTAGTGTTATGAATTTGGAAGTCCGTTAAAAAACTTGTTTATTTTATAATCCTAGTGTTAATTCTTCGATGGATACTCTTAGATATAAAATGTGAAACATGTATATACATGAAAAGGTTAGAGTAGCTCAAGTGGCAGAAATGATTTAAAAGTCTCCTTAGATGGTTTGGTCACATAAAATAACAATGACTCGATTGGAAGAGTAGATGTATTGGATTTGTCCCATATTAAGAAAGATAGAGGTAGACCTAAAAAGACTTTGTTAGAAAATATTAGAAATCACGTTTTTATTTGATATAAATGAGAATTTGACTCTTAACAGTACACAATAGAGAAAAACGTTTCATGGACCCCAAGTAGTGGGATAAATGCTTGTTTTTGTTGGTGGTTGTTGTGGTATTATTTCTTCGGCAACAAGTTTCAAACAATTGGGTTTTTTGTTCAATTTATATTTTGAACCTATTCTATTTTAAGTTTACTCGTTTATTTCCTTTATGTTCAAGTTTTTTGCCCGTTTTTCTAAATTGAAGAATATTAATTTTCCTTATGTAGGTTTTTGAGGATGCGTACAAGTCTCAGTTGAGCATCGTTATTCTTGATGACATTGAAAGGTTGCTCTTGAACCTTACATTTGATTGACTATCTTAATATGCGTTTTCTACTTATTTTATTTTTCAATATGCTTTAAAATTTACAATAATAGCTTATTTTTTTTATGGGAAAGTTTCTTTCCTCTTAATCAAAGTACAGAAGTATAACTTGCTTATGTGCTTCAAAAGTAATATTACTATATAGCAGTAATATTCTTTTGCAAGAACTTTTTTTTTGTGTTAGTATTTTTCTATCCATTTCATTATATCATTTATTTGTCTCTCCTGAACAGTATTAATCTTTTATTTATAATGCCTTTTAACTGCAACACAACTGTGTATAATTATATTGAGGGTAACAAACCGCGTCATTTCTTACTAGATGCATGATTTATATCTATTTCAAGTTTGCTGAAGCACAATAATTACTTATATAGGCGTTGGAGATGTTGCATTGGTCTCGCTTTCAAATTTGATTCAAGACAAACATTGCGGGTCCTTCTTAAAAAGGGGATATATATACTTTTTTTCCCTTTTTTTTTCCCCAAAAAGGGGGGGGAAAGGGTTTAATACATTTCTATACATATCATTTCTTTTTTTTTTTTTTTTTTTTTTTTTTTTTTTTTTTTTTTTTTTTTTGGTAAGAAATTTGAGAAATACTTCATGAATTGGTTAGGGATATTTGCTTTAATTAGTTTATCATTATTATTTCAGTAGCAATGCAAATTGCACCAATCTTTCCATTAATTTGATTGTGTTTTGTGTCTTTATTCTTACTTTTATGACTTTACGTCATTGGAGTAAATCATATTTTTCTAGGATACTTTCACTGTTTCTGTCCCTTGACCCTTTCTTGTTTTAAATTTCTTTATTTGCTATATCCAGCTTGGAGCAAGATGCATAAAAAGATTTATACAAGAGTTATCATGCATATATAATTTTATTGTTGTTGGGTGCCTCAACTATCTTATATATTAAGGAATAAAGAGACATTTTATTTGTTAAATTTTTCGGATATAGAATGCTTGTTAATGAACTTACAAGTAATGTCGGATTCTAGAGTCTAGTTTCTGCAAGGCCTTTTTCTAGTTACTTATAATTACGAATTGGGCCAAGTAAAGATGCCGTAAAGGTATTTTTCTTATGCAAGTATATGTGGAGTTAAATTAGACTGGCTACTTCTATAGTTTATCAACATTGCATAATCATTTCTTTGCGTATCACTAAATAGAATATTTGTGTGCGAAATATTCTTTACCTGTGCATCGTCTAGAACCTAGGTATTTTTAGCTCTTTGAGTTTTGATTTTAGGAATGCTTATTAAGGGTTACTGTTGTTCATAACCTGTCTAGATTGACTTAGAGCCAATTTGCTCCAATCTTTTATGGAAGTCATGCCTAGATGTAGACATGGCTCAGATCTGGATCTCGATTGAGTTAAGCATGGCTTGGCCTTGCTATTATTTCAAGCTGAGCCCATCTTAGCAAAAACATTAGTCGTTGTTAAATAAAATATGCTTACCCAATCTTTTAAGAGACAAATATTGTTTTCTTCCATTACACAAAAAAGTGCTGATATATATTTTAGATAGATACTAATGTATAAGTCTAAAGCGTGATATGCATGTATATTTGAGGTAGATCTTGAACCTTGTTTAATCAGTCACTTACCATTTTCTTAATCTTATATACTCAATAATTAAAAGGTTTCAAGTTTAATATTAGCATCAAAAACGTTCTTGAAAATGAGTATGAAGTAAGATGGGATTGTATTAAATAGATTTCTACTAATAATACATTAATTAGTTTGAAAATAAAAATAAAGGCATAAATAACCATCGGTAAAATTTATTGAATAAGAAGCATTTCTGGGAACAAGCTTTAAACCCAGATTCCTAAATAATTACTTCCATTGATCTCAAGAAGTGGGGAAGTTTATTGCTATAATTGAGGGAAATGTCATCTATAGAAAATTACATGCTTCGAAATTGCTATAAATGTATGGATTAGGCATCAATTAAATATAAGCCTCCTAAATAATTTATTTCTTTGACAAATTTTCAGTTATTACTTATAATTATTGCACTGGTAGAATGTATTTATAATAAGTAATTAATTCTTCCGTTTTAGTGTGCATAAATATTACCTCACATGCATAAATATAGAATAAGTCTCATTATATAACTATCATTTGAGTTGTATTTTAAAAGGCCTGTTAAGATAATCGAACTGTATTGTGTGAGGTATAAAAGTATGCTTTTTCCCTAATTAGAAACAACGGAGATTATCTGAAAATATATTTGTTGGCCAAATGTTGAGTGTGTGCTTACCAATATAGTGAGATTCAGCACACGAGCCAGCGACACTTACTACGGCGTACTTACCTCCGCTGTACTTTATACTTCTCCATGTTGTCCCATATGTTGTTGAGTGTGGGCTGTAGCTATTAAGGCTATCGTTAGAAGCAGTGAACATTAGGTGTTAATAGATGGAAACTAGGCGAGGACATTCACAATGTCAATGGGTGACAATAGTTGTATTTCGGATTCGTGGGTAGAACCTAAGTCTTCATGATCTTTATACCTCTCATGGTTTAAAAATTTTTTCACGCTGAAAAATGGGTTATAATTATTTGTTTAGATTAATCTCTTGATTATTTTAGCCAAAATCCTCAAACACTTCATTAATGACGATCTGTGTTTATTCTCTTAATCAACTAGATCATATATAGTAGATCATTCTTAATACATCACTGCAAAATTATTCTTTGATGCATTAATATTAAATTTTTCTATTACTTTCATAAGGTTTATTATTATGCTAGCAATTTTCAACTACTTAAATTAATCCCTTCATCCTTTTCTTCTCAAATCTCATGATATTAATATATTTTTGTTTATCATTCACTTTTTGTCCATTGAAATTCTTTCATAATAAGGCTAATTGACTTATCAACTTTTAAATTTATCCCTGCTCTCTTTTAAAGAAAGGCAACCATTAAAGTGATCATATATATGTCAATATCTTCTAATTTGCATGGGCACACTCCAGATTGCCACTTACAAACACAACTATCAAATATTGGTGTTATTATTCTCATCAACAACGCGCAACATTATTCAAAGCGTTATGGTAATCAGGATCTGACATAGAACCAGTTAGAAGCGAGAGATTCAAATGTCCAATGATTATGGCTAGAGTTGTTAACTCTGGGATGACTTATTGAATATACATATTATTTAAATGACAATTAGGATGATATATAATTATATATGACTGTAAATTTTATGACTAAATAAATTAAAAGATTCATACCTTAGTATATTATTCTATATTTTAATTTAATTCATGTTAATGACAAATTAGTTCAATATAAGTTTATAGATTTATTATAAATAATTGTTAATTTATGTTATATGCTTGGATATATTCAGACATATAAATTATACTTGCAAATTCATGTACAAAATTCGCCTTTAAATTCGATATCAGATTATTGATATATAATGATATATTAAATTTTAGTTTTTCATGTTATGCAATTAAACAAATAAAAAACTAGATAAATAAAAAAGTTGAATGATTATGAAATATCAATTAAATATTATATATCATTATATACTTCGTAAACTAAAAAAAACTATATGGTTAGCTTAACCAAATTTTAAATTAAATTATATGGAGTTATATTGAAATTTAATATCCGAGCTTTGACAAGTTACTTAGTGTAGACTTGATAAAAAACCTAGTTCATGAGCATGAATAAATAAGTGGATATGTTTAATAAAACCTCGGTTATTCATTGGCTGATATAAGTTCCGTAAAAAGATGATTGCCAGAATTTGAATATTATATTGAATGCACTAGTCATCTTATACCAAAGTAAATTTATGTATGTATAATCTTTTTAATTAACTATTTTTACGTAAAATGTTGATTGATGTTATTTTTCTAGCAGGTGCTGACATCTTAATGTTTTGCAAGAGAGATATGATGAGCCGCTGAAGCGTTAAACGGGGTGAGCTTTATTTTTTATCATTTCTTATAGAAGCTTTGCCTAGATGCACCTTTGAGATTTCAGAATCATAGTAATAATAAATCTCTAATGTGTGCCTCATTAAGTTCTAGTAGAAACTCATTACATCCAACAACTCAACAAAATGTATTAGACATAGACTATCAGAATAATTCCATCTAGAGGCTATAGATAAAGATTTAGTTTCCTTTTTGTCTTCTTGTCTTTGATGTAAATATTTTGTGGGTATTACATATAACTATGTAATAAGAGAGATTCTCTCTCTCTCTTCTTTTTTTAAAAAACTCCCATCTTATGATATTTTTTCTTTGGTGAGCAGTGTAGTCCAAGATATAGGATACTAAACAATAGGAATAAGCTAAGGATTTTTTAATTTCTTCATTGTTTATAAATTGAATGACCCTCACATATTCTCTATTATTTTTTTTTTAGATGCCATTAAAACAATTATATGCGGTGGTGGATAAGGCTGCTGTCAGAGAAAAGGGAAGAAATTTAGAAGCTATTTATTCAGGAAAAGAGAAGATCAATATAAATAACTTCTTTGATACATTGAGTGATTATGCATCCTTTCTCTGATATTTTTTTCTTCACTTCCTCACTCATTTTTGAGTGATTATGTAAGAGCTTAAATTTGGTGGTGGAAAGGGCTGTTGCTGGAGATTTCTGCATATTACTATGCTTTGAATATTTTGAAAAAAAAAACTGCATTACTATGCGTTGAACATTTTGAAAATATTGATCCCAACTTTGTTTTTTTTTTTTTTTTTCTATTATAAAAGATAAATATATGAGAATAATCTCTGGCATGGCCACTTGCATAAGTTAATGGAATTTGATTTTATATAATTTATAATGTATGTAAATGGTCAAATATTTTTTTGTTTATTTTTGTGGAGAAATAATTTGACCATAAGATTATACTATGGCTCAAATAATGTCTAATCAAGTTATAACACAACATTTATAACAAAATAAATTATAATTTTTATATAAAATGTTAACCACAATAATTATAAGTTTATAAAACAACAAAGTGTAATCATAAAAATTATAACATTATTGATTATAATTTGAATACATTAGAGTGCAATCACAATAGTTATAGTAAGGTAAATGAATGGTACACACCTTATTATCCTCATTCCCCTTTGTCACCTTCTCTGCAACCTCAACATGAATGGTTGAAATAGTTGTGAGGATGCAACGCTTCAGAATCTAATGGAATGATTAAATCTCTAAACCTAAATTTTCTCAACCGCAATGTAGAATAAGCCAGAGGTAATTAAAAGATTTGATATAATGAAGCCAATTTTCACATTATTCAATTTTATTTCTCAAAATTTATATATAGTAATTCAGCTTACATAATATCTCTATGTCAAATGAAATAATACTAGATTATAGAATACCTCAAAAGTTCGAGTCCTATTGATTCTGCCCTTATGAACTTTATCCAGCTCGGCTAGGATAAACCATGAATCAGAATAGAAGAGCTTGTCCCACCCATAAGTAAATATTTTCTAGTAGCCTCAGTAGACCGTACATCTCTCTTCATATATCCAGATAATAGGTAGGAGCATAAACTGAAACATTATGGAGCTACAAAGATAGCTATTGACATTCTAACTTAGTAGGCATGCCTTTGTCATATTATAAAATTTGATATCCATAATCACAGTTCATAAATTTAAAGTTTTCAATAGTAAATTTAGTGTACATGAAGAAATTATCAAAATTTCATAAATATATTAGAACTTACTTTTCATAGATATGCATTCTCATACAATTTCATAGGTTATCAGACTGCATTGATTTCGAGAACAAGACATAATTTGCACTTTAATTCACCTTTTCGCAAAAAATCCTAGAATTTAACAGTTGTACATAAGTAACATAATATACTTGCTTTTAGAGACTCCTTTTATGATTAAGTTTGTTTTATTTAGCAAAATATTAAATTTATGACAGAATATATATGAGAAGATATACAAGATGATATGCATGTCTCGATGTCTGTTTTAACTCTAATTTCACTTGTCTCCCATGGGCTACTTCACTAGGTGAATGAGACCCTCATGAATCTTTTTATAACTCTACTTTCACTTTTGTCTCTTTTTAACTTCTCACACCTGCATAAAATAAATATGGATAGAATAATAAACATGACAGATCATAACAGGGCATATTATATAAAGTTGGGCCCACATAACAGAGTTTATAGAACACTATATCAACCTCCCAACATTAGCATACTAAGCTATATATGATCGTGAACACAAGTATCTTGCAATACAAGAGATAATACACATGTATATATTATTCTTGTTTTTCAACTTTTGTCACTTAAAGGTAATTTTCACAGTTAACCTTTAAAACACTATTTTGAGAATTTATGGGGGGTTTAATCAATTTCAGATTTATTAAGAAATAAATATTTAAAATTGAACATAAGTAAAATCAAGTGATGAAAACTTTTCCTCTTATAGCCAAAATATTCAAAATATAGTATTTACTACATATTGAAATTTATACGGTGGAATATTTTTTATAGTCACATAAAAATCAAAATTGAAATTAAAAAAGGATATTGAGAGCCCTACCTCAAGCACAATAATTTCTCTAACTAGCCCAATGGACAAATCCAGAGTTATGGCCTCTGAATTCCTTTGTCATTTCTCTTTCTCTCCTCCTTCCTCTCTCTCCTTTTCCCTATTTAAAAATGTGTATGCATATAAAGTTCTCATGTTTTATAACAGAAGATATGAGATGGGTAGATTTGTGTTGGTATACTCATAACAGAAGATATGTGTTGGTAGTTTCTAAGAAATTAATTGGTTTGTTATATATGATACAATTTTTGTAGTACATGTCGAAAAAGCTAGAACAATTATATGCACAAAGATGTTGTCCTTTAATTTTACGAGTTAAATAATTAGGAAAAATGTTTGAGATTGAGCATGGCCTATGTATTTATGATTAGTTGATTGTTGTGATTTCATTTTAAATAAGATTTAAATTTTTTTTAAAACATGCTTAAGCTCTTAATATAATTTATAATCATGCTTAGTCTTAAAATTTTCCCTTCCAGATATTGGAGTTTGTTTAGACGGTCCAGATTAATCATATGAAGTCTAGGGTTAGGTAGAGTCTAGAAGGTCTCTGGAGTTGGTTTAAGTGAGCTGAAGGGACTGGATTAAGAGGGAAAATTTTGAGAGAGCTATGTTGACTAAACACATGAACTTAGTCTTCTTTGACCATTTGATCATTTTCTTTTCATAGAATCATCGTTGAACAACTTACAACTAAAGAAAAATCTCATTCTTGATTCCTTAAATTTTCACATTTTCAATGTGAATGTTACGTGCATACAAAATGAACAAAAGTGACTTTTCAGAAATTATTAAAGCCTACATAATCGAAGTCTTAAAATAGAACAAAAATTACATAAACAAACTAATTTTAACAAAGAAAATTAAACAAAGAAGCTAGACATGCTGATAATAAATTTGTTAAAATAAAAAATTGAATGATATTTAATTTTTAAAATTTTCAACTCAAATATTATATTAAAATTTAAGCTTCATAAAATAAATTTTGTTGTGATATATCAGTTACCTCTCTCAAATCTTAAATCTCAATGACATTTTTCTTAATGAATTATTGAACCTTCCAAGGTGTACAAAAATGAATAGGTCAAGTGCTTTACTATCAATGTGCATGAGAGATGATTTG